CCCAAAGATGAAGGAATCACCTAAGCTCAGTTGAGCAGTAAAGTTTGTCTCACCATCGATCAAGGTTGCATATGAAGTGTCTCTAATATCATATGTAACAGTCCAGCCCATTAGTAATATTGTCCGTATTGAGTCTAGGTCCAGCTCATATAAAGTGTCTTTAAAATACGTCACTAGGTTTAAGGTTTGTTACTTACATACCTCGCAACTTTTTCGTGTTTTGTCAACGTGTGTCCCAACTAAATATCTCTATGGAATGTGCTTCCTACGTTATTAAGACCCTTCATAAGTGAGATTAAGGACAAATACGGAAATTTAGTGGGAAGTGAGAACTATTTATCACTTAACCCATTTACTTTATGCATTAGAAGGAGAAGCAATATCTGAAAATGACCAACTTCAACCCATGTAATCAAAAACAGGCAAAATGTTATTTGTAAGACCACAATGAATTATTGGTCCAATAATGAAAAAGAAATTATTTCTAAGACGACCTTCATAAAATATACAGATTCGCCTTTAAAAAAATATTCTTTTATGAATTTACTGCTAAAAATTTGGTCTAGGCATAACACGTAATGGGCCTACTGGCAGGGTTGGATTTGGGGCAGATGGATTCGCCCCAATCTCCTTTGTTGGAAAATTACACTATACGTGTAAAATTTATTTTGTGCCTCTATATGTCATATTATCTCCTTAACAATGTTGAAAAGCATTGCTCAGTTATCAAGGGACTTCAAAACCTTTTGTGAGGTCGTTGTTTTCAATGCTACAATCTCTTTAACTTTTTTAGTTTTTTCTTTTTTGAACTCATTAGCAGAAATACTACATTTGCTAATGGGTAATTGCTTGCCGTTACAACTGGTATTTCTTGCAATTTTTATCTTTACAAATTTATTTCAAGAAACAATCACACCAAACCGAACATTAGAGTTTATCAACTTAGTACATTATAAATATTTTACATGAATAAATTCAAAACAAAAGCATCTCACGTTTAAAAATGATCTACACAAGTTATTCATCGAATTACAAAATGCTGTTAAGCTAATTATGAAATATTCACCGTATCTTGGTCTTCTCCAGGAAGTATTCTCTAATCCCACAATAAAGTAACGGGGTTAGAATATTATATTATGCATATATATGTGGAACGGATAAACTAGGTGTTAATTTTCTGCCCACTATCCAGAAATGTGCGCATCCAATGAACTCCACAAATCAAGAATGCTAAACTTCTTTAGTTTTAAATTTTCACACTTAACAATTGTTAGTTGCCAGGTACATTGCACAACATGTCAGCTGACACATCCATCACTAAGATATATCGGAATTAATTAAATATTGTAATTATTTAAACTATCATTCATAATTAGGCAGCTGAACAAGTACAGATTAATGGGAGAACGGTGTCGTTGAAATGAGATAAAAGCTACTCTCACAAAAATTAGTCACAATGGAACAGTCACAGAGACTTAATTTAACAGTCGAATTTCCTTAGTAACGGAACAATATTGCACTACGTTTTAACACTTATGCGAATATGTGAATACGAAAATAGTTGTGAAGGATAGATTGAAAAATAGGGGAAAGCTAAAGACTTTCTCCAAAGTGTCATGTGCAGCGTTTAACATGTTCTAACTAATGTTAACGCATTGGTGATTTGGTATTTATAACATTGGATTTTGTAAGATTTGCGCTTTTCCTGTGGATTTCCTTTTCAACATTTTCTTTTGGCGATTGGATGAGCCGTTAATTTTGAGGAAGGAGAGGTATACAAGCAATATTTCACATGCCAAATATACATTAAAAAATTTTAAAATTACTCCATATATGAACATCTGATTAAATAGGGGTTTGTTCGGTAGAACTTACTAATTTTGGTTTAGACTCTCTATTTGTATTAAAATTTTCACTTAATATGCTTAAATAATTTATTCAGAACCCAATAAGTAAAAATCGAGGAATTCACATAAGTAGTTACAAGTTCAACTGAACTAGATTATATATTTGAAAATTCACTTAATATATTTTATAAATAATCTATCTCCAATCAATAAGCTGTCATGTTCAAGAATTTAAAATTGTGAAACCGCTTCTGAACGAAAAGGATTGTGTGGTTCAAAAACGCATAAACTTTATTCTAAATCCGTCTCTAAAACAATAACGATGCATAAATTCACGAGCTGGAATAAATAATACCTGGACTTCTACATAGAAATTAAGAATATATAGATAAGACTATTATGTGTCTACTTGCAATGCCCTAAAACCCCGGAAGCTGTGACTCCTTAGCTAAGAGATCAGCGTGTGTCTCACGGATGTTTTATTTATTTTCTTCTAAAACAATATTTCCAGCTGTGGATAACACTATCCTAAGTACTAAAATGCTGTTGTTTCATTATTCGTGAACATTGCTTACCTCATACTTAGCTAACTAAACATATTTTTATGTTTTTGGCTGCAAAGACGAGGGAGCCTTTGATAATCTTTGGTCTACATCAAGATTAACGAGTATAAAAATTAAAAGGATAAAAAAAAGGATCAGCAATAACACTATAAAAAACTAAAAGGTCTACGACTTTGAATTAAAACTACTGCTGCTTGATTATCATATCAAGCAGCATCTTAGCTGTAAATTAAAGGGTCCAAGAATTTAGGAACCTTTTGTCTATATCTGCATAATAAAGTTCTGGATAATTATGGAAGTTTTAGCTTCATATAGTTTGAACAACTGGAATGAAGTATCCCTAGTGTAAGATATCCTAATACTATAACTTACTATTCCAGCTAAGCACATGAAAAAGACCTATTGTCGAACTTATTGAGTTAAATACAAGAAAATGTCAGTTTTGAATGGAGAAAATACAGTTCATGCATAGAGGGATCCAAGGAGGGAATATCGTTTACTTTGCCTTATACCTTCCCTAGCATACATTAGATCTCTGCAATTTGTAGCTAGCTTAGTCTGGTCTTCTTCATTTTTTTTTTAACTACACAACTTGTTAAGTTAAAGCATCTTGCTTCTGAGCACTAGCGTGACCCAGACATAACGTTGGTTTGAGTTACCTAAATATTCTTTTATTTGGGCAAGTTCGTATCATTTTCATTGAAAAGCCACCATTAAAAGTATTCTTACACTTATATATGTAACATATTTATTTTTAAAAAAATTCCAATTGTTCGCACACCCGACATACCAAACCGTGCTGCTCAGATTCTACTTTAACTAATTAATTATAAGAGCAAAACCATAGTATTAAGGAAATTAAAATTCATAAAATCGGTAAACTTAGTTCAAGCCCGATGTATGTTAGAAATGCAGCTCAAGCTTGAATTTTAGCAACCATGGCTGAAATTTACAGTTATCTACATAGAGAGTTTCAGAAAATGAAATGTTCTTGAAGAAGACCTTCGTTCTTCTCTGTACAAAATGACCCCCCTTATCCTAATTAAAATGGAAAAACATAAATACAAATTGGGCCAGGCCCAGTTACAGAGTATAACCCAAACTAATAACTAACAAGACTAGCCCACATCAGTATTATCACTATTAGTTATCCGAACACCCCCTTCAAGTTGGAGTGTGATAAAACACCCAACTTGGACAAATGGGAATGATGGGCAGCACCAGGCAGACTTTTGGTAAAGACATCAGCCATTAGAGTGGAACTAGAAGTATGGAGCAGGGTAACCAAACTATCAGCCAACTTGGTGCGGACAAAATGACAATCCAGCTCAATATGCTTGGTTCGTTCATGGAACACATGGTTCTTGCCAATGTGAATTGCAGCCTGGTTATCACAATAAACATGATTAGAAGATATGACAGTCAAGCCAAAATCAGCCAAAAGTCTAGTTAACCATGTGACCTCTGTCACAACCTTGCTCAAAGACCTATATCCAGCTTCAGCTGAAGAAAGAGAGACAACTGGCTGCTTCTTAGATTTCCAGCAAACTAAACTGCCGCCCAACAAGATGTAGAAACCAGTCACTGATCTTCTACTATCAGGACAAGACCCCCAATCACTATCACAATAAACCTGGATAGAAAAATCTGAGGAGTTATTAAGGAAAATCCCAAGATCAGAAGTACCATTCAGATACCTCAGCAAGTGGAGGGCAGATTTCATATGAGGAACACAAGGTTTCTGCATAAATTGACTAAGGTGTTGCACAGCAAATGAGAGGTCTGGCCTGGTGTGAGTGAGAAAATTCAACTTCCCTATGAGGCTTCTGTATACTTCAAGAATGGGCAAAGGTTCACCAACAGATGCCATCAATTTCTCATTCAATTAAAGAGTGCATACAACAGGGGTACAAACATCACAATGAAACTCTTTTAGCAAATCACTTATAAACTTTTTCTGATAAAGGAAAACACCAGTTGGAGTGTACAATACCTCAATCCCAAGAAAATAATTGAGCAGCCCCAAATCCTTTATTTTAAATTGGTCATGAAGAAAGCACTTTAAAGCAGTAATTTCATGCATATCAGTTCCAGTTAAGATAATATCATCCACATACACAACTATAATAACCAAGGAATCACTTGAACCCTTGGTAAACAGAGAATAGTCATAGTAGGAATGGTGGTACCCTCTAGACTGAAATGCTTGTGATAGTTTGGCATACCATTGTCTGGATGCTTGCCTCAAACCATAAAGAGATTTTCGGAATTTACACACTAAAGGGACAGAAGAAGAAGGGGAAGAAACAGACAAACCAGGAGGAAGTCTCATATACACTTCCTCATCCAGATCACCATACAAAAAAAGCATTATTAACATCCAATTGAAATAGGGGCCATCAATACCTTCAACTTGAGTATCACCCCGAACCACTAATCTAGCCTTATACCTTTCAATTCTACCATCAGCTCTATATTTAACCTTATAGACCCATTTGCAGCCTATAGGCTTCTTCCCAAGGGGCAAAGGAACAACCTGCCATGTGTTGTTAGCTTCCAATGCCTCAAATTCAGCTCTCATGGCATCCTGTCATTCTGGAACAACTGCTACCTGAGAATAAGTTGAAGGCTCAAGAATAGGCAACTGACTAGAAATAGGAGTGGAGGATCAGATGTGGAGTCAACTGAAAATGAGTTGCAGACATAACTTTGAAGATATGCACGTTGTTTGTGTTCCCTAGTGGACCTTCTTAAAGGAGGAGGAGCAGGAGAAAGAGATGATGAAGCATGAGAATGAGATGAAGAAGGTGAAGGTGAATGTGCAGAAGAGGAAGAAGGAGGAGTGGAAACAGAAGGAACAGAAGGAAAAAAAAAGAGATAGGGCTTGCACCTAAGGAAGGGGTAGGAACAGGGTGAGATGCAGGAGGTAAATCATCAAAACAAGTAGAGAAAGGGAAAGGACACATACTAGAAGAGACAGAAGAAGATTGGAGAAAAGGAAAAATATGTTCATGAAATACAACATCCCTAGAAACAAAACAAGAATGAGACTCCAAATTGTACAACTTGTAGCCTTTCTTAGCAAAAGGATACTCCACAAGCACACATGGTACAACCCTTGGTTGGAATTTATCTCTATGAGGTTTAGGCACAGTAGAATAACAAAGACATCCAAAAGCTCTAAGATGTGAGTAAGAAGGAGGCTTATCATAAAGAAGTTCAAAAGGACTCTTGTGAGACAGAAGGGGAGAAGGAAACCTATTGATCAAATAGGTAGCTGTCAAGATACAATCACCCCAGAATCTAATGGGAAGATGGGACTGAAAAAGTAAAGCCCTAGCAGTATCAAGCAAGTGTCTATGCTTCCTCTCCACCACCCCATTTTGTTGAGGAGTATGAGGACAAGAGGTTTGATGCACAATTCCCTTATCAGAGAAATATTGAGAACCTGAAAGACTAGACCCCAATTCTAATGCATTATCACTTCTTACAGTTTGCACCTTGGTGTGAAAATGAGTTTCTAACATGGCAATGAAGGCTTTCAACATATCAAAGGCATTGTTTTTGGACCCTAGGAGATGGTCCAAGTAGCTCTAGTATAGAGATCAACTATGGTCAAAAAATATTTGGATCCAGTATATGTGGGTGCATGGTAGGGATGTATTAATTGAAAAAGGGCAGTTGATTGTATTGAACTATCAGGAAATGGTAATCTAGTTTGTTTGGCTAAAGGGCAAATAGGACAAGAGAAAGATTGTTTAGAAGACAAATGTGGACTATATGCAGGAACAGATTTCATTTTGGAAAAAGACAAATGCCCAAGTCTGTAATGCCAAACAATATCCTCTTTATTCACTTTATTAACATGTGCATCAGTGGCTACATTAGTATGATCAATAGACAAGCTTGCATTACTACTAGGTGCACTAGAAAATTTAGTTTAGGAAGGATTACAAGGAATAGAACAAGGAAAAACATTGGGTAAAGTAACATGACAACATAAAGGGCCAGAATTTGCAGGAAGTTGAAACAGCTTGTAAAGCCCATTGTCTGGTCTACCAAGCACCAATGGCTTCTTTAGTGAAGGGCCCTGTAGAGTACAGCCAATGTTGGTAAATTGAACTATATCACCTAGATTTTCAACTAACTTATAAACAGAAATGAGATTGTGTTGAAAGCTAGGGACATAAAGAACATTACGAAGAGTAAGATTAGGGGAGAAAGTTAATTAACCAATATTGGTAACTCTAACTTTATAACCGAAACTAAGTAAGGGATGGGCAGAGTCTGATTATCAAAGAGAATGGATTTATCAAAGGTCATATGATCAGATGCTCCAGAATCTATGATCAAAATAGTATTCTCTATCTTAGTAAGTAAACAAGTTCTGAACAAACCATTCTCAGGCAACAACTTACCAGCAAAATTAGTAGAAGCCAAAATATTTAGAGTAGCAAGAGAAGCAGAAATGTGAGACTGTTGAAGCAGAGTGATCAACTGGGAGTATTGATCCTTAGTCAACCCAGGCAAAGTGTAAAGCTGCTCAGATTCAGCATGCATGACAGGACCACCACCATTTCCAATCTCATCAGAGTTAACAGGAGATTGAACCTCAACATGTGTTGCAGTTCTCCTAGGTGTATTACCTTTAGTGAACTTGAAATTCTGAGGAAAACCATGCAGCTTGTAGCACTTTTCAATAGAATGCCCTGATTTCTTACTGTACCTGCAAATGATAAAGGACCTTTGATTGTCTGGTCTTTGAGGATTGAAACTCACCTTAGATGGGAAGGATTGTTTGGACACTCCAGCATTAAAAGAAGCAGAGTTTGAGTTTGAAGGAAATTGAGAAATGGAGGATACTTGCCTTTATTTCTCATCACTTAGTAGAATCCCACAAACTGTACTCATAGATGGAAGGGGCTTTATCATCAAAATATTGCTTCTAACTTGGAGGTGTGTCTCATTGAGTCCCATTAAGAATTGGTATACCTTCTGCTCTTCCTCAACTTTCTTATTTCCCCCACATGTGCATACAGAGAGGTGATTAACAGAAATGGAAGCTATTTCATCCCAAAGTTGTTTTATTTTGTTGAAATAGGAGGCAATGTCCAAAGGACCCTGAGCAATGTGAGATAACTCCTTCTTAAGTTCAAAAATTCTAGCACCATCAGCCATACCATATCTCTCCTCTAATTCATGCCAAATGTCTTTGACTAGTTCTGAATACTAAACACTACGAGAAATCTCCTTGGTGAGGGAATTGGTCAGCCAAGACACAACTAAATTATTACAACGTTGCCACTGCCTGATTGATTAGAGGGGAACCAACAAGTGATTTTTCAGTAGTGCCATTTATAAAATCCAATTTATTGCGTACAGACATAGCCATTAGAATATTTCGACGCCAGCTTCCATAGCTAGTGCCATCAAAATGAGTGGAAACTAGAGAGGCTCCTAAAACATTGGACGGACGTACATAAAGAGGATGGCACGGGTGAGTATAGTCATTAGGATGAAAAGCAGTAGGACAAGAGGAAGAAGAGTTTCCTCTGTCAGCAATAGGAGTAGCATGTCAGTAATAGGAGTAGCATCGCAGGGAAGAGTAATCATTATAGTAAATGAAAGGCAAATCCCACACAATATCAAATAGAAAAGCAACAGTTTAAGAATAACAAAACAACTAATTGACTTTACTGCTTACAAATCTCGATCAACAAACAAAGGTAATCAAAAAAACAGACGATGAAAGAGATGATGTTACCAACACCTTCGCGACCGGAAGGAGACGACCTTCTAGCAGCAATAGAGGAACCCTAATCTTCGAAATGAGCTCCAATAAGAAACCCTAATACACCAGATGAACTCAGCCAGATGGAAATTGACAATCAAAACCCTAGATATCCGAACAATTCCAATCGACGCAGAGATTCTCACAATTTGAAAAAAATCTCACAATTTATGAAGAAACCAGGACGTTTGAACCTCAAATCGAGAGACGGGAGAACGAATTTGAAGGAAAAACAAAAAAACGATCTTAGGTGCGAAATTAAGAAGATTCGAATGAAGGATTACGAGCTTAGCATCGGAAAAGGATTGAAGGACCAGAATTAATGCTTCCTGCTCTAATACCATGTTAGAAATGCAAGCTCAAGCTTGAATTTTAGCAACCGTGACTGAAATTTACAGTTATCTACAGAGAGAGTTTCAGAAAATGAAATGTTCTAGAAGAAGACCTTCGTTCTTCTCTGTACAAAATGACCCCCCTTATCCTAACTAAAATGGAAAAACATAAATACAAATTGGGCCAGGCCCAGTCACAGAATATAACCCAAACTAATAACTAACAAGACTAGCCTACAGCATTAGCCCACATCAGTATTATCACTATTAATTATCCGAACAATGTATCAGACGAATTCAACTATCAAGTTGTGGAGCTTCTATTTTAAATTAGCCCTAAAAGTATTACGTTATTCCTGTAAAAGTGAATTGCGATTTGTTTTGCCTAACAAAAAGTATAGTATGAATGACCTATACTTCACCTTTACTAAAATTTCATCGTTTTAAACTTCTTATAGAAATGAAACTTACAAGCTATACTTATCGGCTTAACTTATTACTATCATAATTTAATTTTTCTAAAACTTAATCATAATAAATCAGATAAATTAAGAAAGAGAGTATTAGTTATTATGCCTAAATTGTCCATATTCATCTCCATTAATATTTATCTAATGGCCGGTAGTCGAAATGATAAAACCATCATTTTGCTTCTGAATGCAACAAAATAGAAATTTTAACGTATATCCACTCACACTGCAATGAATTTTACACTATTGGTGCAATTTATTCTCATGTAAAAGATTAAACATTTGCCTTATTTTAATTTCAAGTTACTAATTCCACTTGTTTTAAATAATTACCTATAATCATCTTTTACAGTCACTTAATATCATAAATAAACTTTACAATAGAACTTATCGTATAGAAGTTGAACTCTATACACTATCTGATGTACTTTCTTTGTTGGAATTTTAGGCCATCGAAACCATGCACCATAAGCTTTAAGAATTTCCTGACCAACTTTATCCCAACATTGTGATGAGTTTTTAATGTTAGAAGTCAAATTCTGGCTCTCCCGCCACATGCAATGGCTAAATCTGTGGTCTAATCAAAGATGTGTTTCTGTTTGTACATAAAGAAGAGTGGAAAAAAGAAGAGTTTTTTATGTCCGACTAAAACTTTTTTGTTTCCTTTCATATTAGCAAACATAGCTTAGAAATATAGTTTCTTAGATATGTAGACTGCACGAGTGGCCTTGTCGATTTTGGAACTTGATATTGCTACGCAAGGGTTGGACATGCATGCATTAAATATGCTGTTTTTCATTTGACTACGTAAAGAGGACCTGCACGACTCTGCCTCTATTTAGAATCTGTGACTTTGTGTGTAGGATTCTCGTGAATGAAAGTTCATGGAAGGGAAGAAAATAGACAGAATACTATATATTATAATACCTCAGATGTTTGACTTCAAGTTTCATTAATCACATCTACCTATAGCTACATGTAGGTTTTGACTTCTTTACATTTGGAATATGGTAGGGGCTAGGATCGATCGAGTACTAGGCTGCTCCAAGTGACACCTTTTCTTTTACGAGACATTTGGATAAGCTTCATGACGAGTTGGCGATGAGTTTTAATAGTTATAAATGGTGACTAGTTTGAGGCTCACCAATTGCAAATGACTAGTGGTAAGGCTATAATTAAGGCGGAGCAAGAGTTTAGGTTACATGTCGGCCAATGCAGTATTTGTGTATTAAATCTTATATTTGTTTGAAAAAATTAATTCATTAAATATGTGTGGATTAATTATTAATTGGACTAGAACTACGAATCCATAAACTTTAACCTTCTAGCTTCGTCTCTGGCTACAATTGCACTGTAACGTTACTAATTAATTATATTGAATATGAATTTCTCTTTTGAATCAAAAGAAAAGGGAAAAATTAAAGCAAATGCCTTATAATATCAGGATCGGAGAAAACCGGTGCGTACGTTTCTGAAGTGTGTTTCTGTGTGTGTTGGTACAAGATCAAAGCTGTATGGTTTCCTTTCCTATTGGCAAACATAGCGTAGAAAATAAATGGCGTATGCATCTCCGTAGAATAGTACACGAGTGGGTTTCTCAATCTTGATCTGCAAGCAAATATATATTTCAATATACATCCTCTTACTACACTCTTAGTTAGACATGCTATATACTATAATTATATTGCAAAATGCGAATATTTCTTGTCACAAAGACTGGATATTTTGGCTTTTGACATAATTTTTATTTATTTATATATTTATTTTTTGCTTTTTATACTAAAAGCCATGCCAACCAATAAGTAGAGGCTATCGGTTGCTCAAGAGTTAAAGTAAATGGTTATGAGTAGAGGCTATCGGTCCCAATCCACGACAAAAATTGGACTACATGCAGGGATCGTGCGATAAATTTAATGTTGAAAAAGAATAAGCACTGAACAAGTTGATTAGTCAACTCAAATGCAAAAATGGATAATGTATCAAAAAATTTATCGAATTTTGCTGTGGTATGGTCTTATTAACGACCCATAACTTTAAGAAGAGGATATGCCATTTTCCTTACTTGAAAGAGAACGACAGAACATTAAAAGAAGTGTTGGAAAAGAGAGGAAGAAAAAGATGGAAATAGACACGGCATAGGACCCCCTCAAGAGTATGGGGAAGCACCACTTTGTTAATTCCGCCAATGTAAGCTAAACATTAGATGCCCATAATACGCAGATTCAGTGCACTTGCATAGCAATTGTAACTTTCAGTGTGTTTAACCAAAAATCTAAGTCTTTGATCAAAACCAGAAATAAAAAGAAATTTGGGTTACTGATAATCTGGAAACGAAAATAATAGAAGATCTCTGAGAATAATAAAGTAATAAGTAGTTTTGTATTTCAGTGTAATCTCAATAATATTTCGTGTCCTTACAGATGTTGAGTCCTTCTCCTTTTATAGTTGATTCTAGGAGAAGATGTAATGCCTTTGTCTTAATGAGGCAATTATGAGCAATAAATGACATTTAAAAGAAACGTTACACAATTATTTCTATTTAATTCAGATTCTCTAACGTATTTGATATTTAATGCTGTATTTAGACTCTTTTACGTCATCAGATTCGTATCTTCAACTTCTTCTGATCTTTGATCTTTAAATGACTCGAATAGGTACGAGACTCGTACCTATTTTAGTAACGGTCCACACCTATGTTGCTTTCTTTTCCCCATATCTGTTGTCGCCCGTGCCTCTTGACTATTTATTGCGTTTTGACATTTTGACCAGTCCACGTGTCATGACACGTCATCTTCAATATTCAGACTCGGTTTTTTCCCAATACAGATAGTCCCCCCACTTTTCATTTATTTATCAATTAAATATTTGGGAAATGGATCTTCACGAAAAAGGAATTTTTACCGTAATTAATGTTATGTCAGTACTGACGCTTCAATTGTCTTTTCTATTTAATGCTCTGCACACGTGTCACCTTCTGATATGTATGTAATTCTACAGCCTTTTTCCAAGGCTTCTTCATCCCCTCTATTTACGAAGTGATAGTTGCCTTTATTATAGGCTTTCCATCATTACGCTTTTTTGTTTGACGGTCGCTGTTATACACATATTTAACCCTTTTTTCCTTTGTCTTCTTCTTCATAAACCCTTAACAGATACTTTACTCTTTACTTTTGTTCCTTTCTCCTTTAGTTCATCCTTTCTCTGCAATGGCATCTCCGAATCCTAANGTGAACAAGTTGTTAATTTAGAGAAAGCTGACACTTTTCCTTCTCTAATCACTGAACCTTTGATTTCTATTGTTCGAAAAGATTGCAACTGGAGAAGTGATCTTCGTATAGTGATCCCTAATCCAAACCAAAGAATATCTTCCTTTAGGATTGTATTTTCTTTTGTTTATACTTATCCCTTCACTTTAGGATTTAATCCTGCTATTGACCCGGTTATACTTGATTTCTGCCGCTTTATAAAAATTTGCTTGGGACAAATTGGCCCCCTGGTATGGAGAGCAATGGCTTGTTTGAGATATTTGCCTGTAAAAGCCAATGTTAGCTTTACCTTCTCCCACCTTATTCATCTTTACCACCC